TTTGAGCAAATTGAGACATGCAGTCACCCTATTGGCTTGTGTTTCTATTTCTTGTTTTAGGAAGATGTTTACTTTAAATATTGTTTCATTATCCCTTATTTTTGGTTAATATCTATCACCATTTGCTCTGAATTATTCTTTAAATTGGGTTTTAATTTAAAAAGTCCATTGTTAATTAGTTATGTGACTTCAAGATATTTTTAAAAGAATTCTTTTGCATCTGAGTTTTTTGATCTAAAGATTATTTAAAAGGGCATATATAAAGAGCCTAGCACATGGTATTGTCTCAGAGGAAAAAAAAAAAGTGAATTACTTCCCTTAATTAGATAGAAAAGTGTTCTTGGTTTATCAAACTTTCAAAGATAGTTGGGAAAGCAGATCTGAGAGCATTATAACCGTGTGTGTGTGTCTGTGTGTGTGTGTGTGTGTGACAATTTGTTCTGCAGTTCCTTTTTGTTTTATTAAATACAATATCCATATTGGTATTGAGACATGTCTTTTATATTGTTCCACTTTTTTAGGTTCTATCTGATATTAAAGTCTTCCCTCAAGGATCTATCTGGATCTGTCTGGGTGTGGTGGCAGTTTTGAGGTTTGGAAACCTTTATGGGGTTCAAAATCATGCTTTGTATCATGCATCTCTGGTGCCTTAAAAGCCAAGATCTTCATTTGTTTCATTTACAAGAAATAGAGAATTACTTCCTCTTTTTGAAACTCTCTGATCTCTTGACTTCTATAGCATTGTAATATTTTTATTATCTATGTATTTCTTTAAATGTTCCTTTTTTCCCTTTCTTTTCCTCCTTCTTCTCCATCTTAGTGTACTTCTCTTCCTCTAGTCAACCTTAAACCTTGGTGTCTGACAGGGGTCCATTTTGGCCCTTTACTCTTCCTACCGGCATTCACTCTATGGGTGACCTCATGCACTGTCATGATTTCAACAAAAACCTCTTGCTGATAGTCTCAGATCTATACATCTCTAGCCAACATTCCTGTAATCATCAGATCATCTATTTAATTCTCAAATAGGCATCGCTGCCCACATAGCACTTGGCTTACCTCTCTACCAATCTCATTTCCCTTTTTCCATTCTCTATTTCTTTAGATGCCTCCATAAATATCATCATTGTCCAGCTGCTCAGCTTAGAAATCTGGGAATCATTTTTGTTTCTCATTTAATCAAAACCAAAATTCTACCAATTTGATTTATTACTATTTATTAATTATTCTTAATCTATAAAATCTGTATTTTCTATCCATCTTTACTTTCCCTACCCTAGTCAGACCTTTTAATTTATTTTCTAGATCATGCATTAGCTCCCTAACTCTTCTCTGTGCTTTCAGTGTGTCTTTCTTCAATCCAGCCAAAGATTTGTTCATGCCATTCTCTTAAGTTCTTCAGTGGCTTCTCCTCCCCTTCGGGAAGAAGTCTTTGCTCCATATCATGGTACCCAAGACCATCCTTGATCTAGCCTTTGCCTGACCCATCTTCTTCTCTAGGCACAGCTTTTATCTCTTGTCACTTCTGACCACATATGTTATATGTTACTATCACAGAATTGCTTCCAGTTCTCTTTGCATGTGTGTGCACCCATACAAAGAAACGCGCATCCACCACCACCACCACTGCTATGCTGTTTTCTAGGTTCTGTGCCCTTGGCCTGGAGGCATCTTTTTCTTCTTCTCCTTTCTTTTTGACAACATCTCACACATCTTTTGCTCATGGAACTAGTACAGATGTCATCTACTCCAAGAAGCAAAAGGTTTTGCTAGCATTTTGTTAGGATTTCTTCACTCTATCCCATATACATATGCATATTTTTATCATATTGTGTGTTAATTTTCTGTTTTATATCAGTCTTACCCCACTAAATTGTGAGCTCCTTGACGTCAGCAGCCATATTATTCCATATTTATGAAATTTCAATTTCTAATATAGTCTGGCACATATTAGATGCCCAAGACTTTTACTGAATGAATGAATGAATTTAATAAATGAATACATTGATTCTAATATTTACTAACTCATAGTAATTATGTATTTGTTCATGTGTTATCTCATTTAATTAAAATGATTTGTGCATGTATATATAATAACATCAATATAAAACACATTTAATCCATATTAAGTTATTATTTATGTAATCCATTTGAATTCATGGCTCAATATCTTTAAGAATTCCAAGCAAGGAAGCAGAGTCCAAAATCTTCAAAAATAACTGAAAGAGAATCTTCAGTCTCTTGGAAAATATTCAAAAACATGCAAGTCACAAGCTCTAATAACTTTCCATATATTATCCTTAATTTCATTTCATCCTTAATTTTCTCACATCTCAAATTGTTCTAATCTACTAAATTCTCCTAAAATATTCTCTGGAGCACTTTTGTTTATCCCTGCTCCTCATTTCTTTTTTATTTAGATTTGTACTTGGGCAAAGAGAATCTTTCCTGTTTAATAAGGGGAGGGGGAGGGAACAACTGAGCAATAGAACACCAGCTTCTCTTTAGAAGATGGAGGTAGGGAGTGTTACGGACAATTGCATCTAATGATTGTTGCCCAAGGACATATATATGTATGTTTGAATATGACATTACTTTCTTTAGATTATTGGTCAGTTCCTCTTTTATATTATTATGTGGAAGACATCTTTATCTGAATGTACCCTTCCACTGCAGGTGATTACATCGCCTCTTTAAAACAAAACACAACAAAACAAAAAACACTACTCTGAACATGTAGCCCTTTCAGCCATACCTATAATGCAAGTATATTTTACAGCCCTATTGGTTTGTTGAAAGGAAAAATCTTGGGCTCAGTACTTTTTCTCTCTTTGTAGTTTGTTCGTGGTTAGAGTCTATGTACTTCATGCTTTATACATTACCAAGAGTTGTGTGATGAAAATCCAAGGAAAGCCTCTCTCAAAATAGTTTCATTGCAAAGAGAAAATGGCACTTATGCACTTTGGTAGGAACTGTACTCTTGAGCCATGTTCAGTTTTGGAAACTTGAATGGAAAAATCCATTGCTTGGAGAAGCCAACCACACAGGATCCTGAGCTGAGTCTATTGTTAGAAGAAGAAAGAGGCACCGACAAGGCATAGAGCTCTGATGACCTCTGAGAGCTTGTGCATACTGTCCCTGGCAGGGGACCTCCCCTCAGCAATACATATGTTCAAGAAGAGGCCAAGCAGGAAACCCGCCCTTGGCAAAGTGTCTTTACATAACCAGAATTTGGCTTTGTGTTAGCTTACTTACATGACAGTTTCACAAATTGAAAACAAAAAACAAAACAAAAAAATTTTACTCATTACATCATAATATTCCTATAATTTCGGAATCCTTTATAGTTTGCGGTAGAGTGTTCTGCCTTAGTCAGGTCCTGAAGGCAGTGCCTAATCACCCAGTCCCCTCAACTTTATGTAGTCAGTGTTTCTGTGTTCTCACTAGTGTCATGGGGTAGGGTGGGGTCTCGTTTTGCTTAGTTATTTTGGTAAAGACTACTCAGCCAGCCACATTTGAATCACAGTAGCTGGTTTAAAGCCTTTTGCATCAGTAACAATTGACAGGTGTTAAAGGAATGTTTGGCCACATCACTAGTTATTTCTCAATAATTCAGTATTGTGTTAAGTTGCCCCACCCCAACTGGGAAAATTTTTCTGTTTTCATACCCAGCTACCTCTGTAGTATGTGAGGCCGCTCCAGCATATCAGGGCTAGAATGAATATTTATGTTTGTCATGATTCAGGCTACCAGAGGTTCTAAGTGCAGTAAAGAAGGGCCGCTATAGTAGTAAGGTGCCGCTCATGGGCCAACAATCTCCAACAGAAGGCAAGAGCTGTTTCTGAAAGTCTTGTCCAAAGCCTCCCTGTGACAGCCATTTTTGAGGGACGCATGTCCTCATAGGCCTGAATCACTTTATTGAGTAACTCTTTTAGTTTCTTACAACAATTTTTGCTTTTGGAGTGTAAGACAGGATGAATTCTAGGGTGCCCTGTCTCGTGGCACCAGAAATTGGTAGCTCTTCTTTCATTCAATCCATTTCCAGCCAGTGGAGCTCCTTAGCCCCTTCTCTATCTACCTTATGGTGATATATTTTCCAAGAGATTTATTTTTCTTTCCATGTCACTTGGCCTAAGGTAGAGCTACCCTAGGTCATCATGATAGATCTCCCCTATCAGGAGATCTTTCTCCTCTTCATCAGGAAGAAGAGGTCAGGGAATCGATCTGAGACCCTCCTTCCTGGAAGGCACCTGGATTTGTGAAAAAATTTTCCTTTTCCATCTCTGAACTCTTTATAGCAAGAGGAATGCTGACTCCATAAGTCCGACTGAAGGCCCTGTCATATCATGTCTCCCAAGTGGCCCTCAGGGGTTTACAGTGACCCACCTCTATAGATAACTGGCAGAGTCTTTGACCTGAGGGGGGGAAAGTATCATTTAAATACAGTGCACACACACACACACACATATAAAGGTATTTTATGATGCTTCACAAAAAAACAAAAGGTAGGTTAGATCTAAATATGTCTTTATGCTAAGAACTAGTACTGTGGTCTATTGAGAAGTATTAAAGACTCTTCTTCAGGAGGGTCCAAAAATGGAAAAAATCTTATTAGTGGGGCATAGTTTTGGTAGGGTTCTGTTATAGGGAAACTGAATGGGAGAAATAGCTTCTGGGTCTTTGTAATCAAATATCTTGTTTCCTTTTTAAAGACTAGCTGTTAGCTGCTTAGACTTGGGCTCTGAATCAGGTTTGGGAAGTGAGCTCCCAGTTTGGATTCTGCTGCCTTATTTGGTCAGCAGTAAATATCAGCATATAAATGAATCCTTCATAAGTCTGTGGGGAAATTTTAACTTCTGCACCACTGCAATTACCCATAATTTATATGAGGTTCTGATCATCACCCAAATCAATGAATAGCAAGGTATTCCCACATGCTGTAAGAATTTAGTTATATTTGAGTTATTGCACAAAGTTTATCGTTTGTTTTTATTCCGCAGCCTCCACCTCAGATTTACGACAAACAGTTGGACGAAAGAGAACACACCATTGAAGAATGGAAAGGTGACTCTACCACTTAAATGTACATTTTGCTTTATTGAAACTCAGAAATTATCTTTGAGGCGTCTCCCTTTAAAACAATTTAGTAACAGATGATTTTATAATCATTATCCTCACACCATTTTCAAAGCTCTCAAACTTTATATTTTCATACTAATAACAATATTGCACTTATTCAAGAATGTAAGGAATTAATTACTAACACTTTTTAAAATAGTACCAATTGTAAAAGTATTTGTCATGGTGAAGGGCAAGCTTCAATTCAAAATTTCAGAATGACACATTCCATGTTTGTACATAAAATTATCACATAAAACAAACAAAATTATGTCTAAGATGGCCTTAGCTATTAAAAAATAAAAGATAGTTAATATATGAATTCATTCACTCATTTATAGGGTTTGAAAATTTAAATAGAAAATATATGTATCTAAATGGCTTATTTATCCTTCAAAATAAGAAAATAATGAATAAATACATTAGTTCATTTTTTTCACCAGAACTCTTCCAAGCACATAATGCATGGTCAAAATTATACTCAGGGTGAAATAAACGAGAAACTATGAAGAATTGTTAAACTAATATAAATAACTACAGAGTAGAATAAATATGAAAAAGTAAAGGCAGATCATAACAAACAAAGGTTAAAATGAGGAGGAACATAAATGGAAGCTCTGAAGGGAGGAATTATTTTAGTTGCTTTGAAGGAGTTAACTACTATAAGTTGGGAGAGCAGGAAAATACCAGTATAAGGACATATGGGGAAAACAAAGGGTAGGAATGAGCAAGAAGTGTTACAAAGACAGCAAAGAGATTTCTCTAGTCAAGGGGTCCTATTTGGAGAATATGGAAAAATGACACATAACAAAGAGTGGACCAAGTAAACAAAGATGCTAAATGATAGACAGAAAAGACTTGATTTGATCTAATAAGGACCAGAAGTTACTCTTAAGAGTTTGTGTGTAGGTAGGTATTAGGACATAAATATCATTTGAGTATGAACATGGACTAAATTGGAAACTGGAAAGAGATATACTTGTAAAGACAATGATTATATAAATTGCAACCTGTTGCAAAGCAAGAATAAGTAGCACTGATTTTTAGTTAAAAGGGGAAAATTAAAAGAAAGAATATATGCATGTTTAACTCTAACAAAGAAAAAGCCAGATATGGATGCCAGTTTGGGAATAAATGTAATAATTGTTATAATGTTGGGTTTTAGGCAAGTTTAGTTTTACAAATCCAAGATTTGAGTCTAGCAAAAAATGAAGAAAGAGTTGGAAAATTGTTGGGAAGTAATAGTTTATAGTCAGGAGGGTGTGTGCATCTCTTAGGGAGTGAATATAGAAGAAATCTGGATGCTCAAAACTGAGCCCTTAAAGTTCTTAAGAGATAAAGTTAGATGGCATCAGAAATCCCCCAAAGAATTCAGAACCAAGTAAAATGTGTATTCTTCACACATTTGTTTTGTCAAATGCTTTATTGAGCACTTACTTTTGCCAGGTTCAGTGCTGTTGCAAGAAAATGTAGAAATAGAGGAGTAAAGGAATCCCAATTGATTTGTAGTTTACTCAATCCCATCAAAATATTATTATTTGTCATTAACTAGTAAGTTTTCTCTGCATATTAAGGAGAAATAATTTGTTTTCTTATGACACTGATATTTGTTTCTTACAGAACTTATCTACAAAGAAGTAATGAATTCTGAAGAAAAGACTAAAAACGGTGTTGTAAAAGGACAACCTTCTCCTTCAGGTACTCACTCTCAGTGAATAACTAATAAACCACTACTTGTGTATTTTTTTTTTTTTTTGGCCTTGAGGAGGGATTGCAGCCAATAACATTGCTAATAGAGCACATGAACTAATATCACATGATTATTTCTCTCTAGTGATTTTCATTCTATTCCTTTTGATATTTAGTGTGGTATTCTTTCTGATTATTCTGATTATGATGACCAGCACAATGGTTCTTTCAGAGTTATTTTAAGATAATAGTGAATCTTGAAGAAATGTTAATAAGAGCTTGTTAAAGGGTAACTGCTTCTCATCAAAACACAGCCATCATGCTCTCTGACCACCACGTCAATGTAGAGGTCAGGAATCCCTCCAGCCAAAACCTCTTTCCTCAGTCACTCCAGTGTTGGAACTCTTCCCAAGCTTGGTGTGACAGTAGTGAAAGCATCTGCTAAGATGGGTTCTGATTAAAGTCAGCATGGAAAGTCTCTCAGTTTGCCATCTACAGAATCAAACACATATGTGTACATATACTGTACATATTTTGCTGATCCTAGTAATGTGCTTTAGGATTACTTAAGATGATTTACTTACACTCAGTGCTAATATATTTTTCCTAAAACCTACGTTCTGAATGTAAAGAAAATATATAAAGAGTTTTAGAAAATGTGATGGCTTATCTCTAGCTTTAAACTACACTCAACTCACGCTGGCAAGAATGTAGGCTGCAAATGATTAGTTGTTTAGAAGAAAATGAATTGGTGCCTCACCTTTGATAAACAGTTTTTTCCTCATGCACTTTAAATTCTTTCAGGAAGGGCACCTGGGTGGCTCAGTCGGTAAGCTTCTGCCTTTGGCTTGGGTCGTGATCCCAGGGTCCTGAGATCGAGCCCCATATCAGGTTCCCTGCTCAGTGGAGAGCCTGCTTCTCCCTCCCACTGCCACCCCCCCTGCTTATGCTTGCTCTCCCCCGCCCTCTGCGTCAAATAAATGAATAAAATATTTAAGGAAGGAAGGAGGAAGGAAGGAAGGAAGGAAGGAAGGAAGGAAGGAAGGAAGGAAGGAAGAAATTGTAAACAAAAAATAAAAAAATAAAAAATAAAAAAATTGTTTCAGGAAAAAAGATGTAGGATGAATTAACCAATTCTTCATACTGATACTACTCTTTGAACAACTGGTTTGCACCCAAATCACTATGATGGCCAAACAGATACAATTCAGTTATAACATGTTTTTTCTCATTCTAGTAATGTCCAGTTCTATCCCAAGTCTTTCCTTTCCTCAAAGGAAGACTCTGCTCATTCCTTCTGGCATCCAGATTGATACAGGTCTGTAGAACTGTTCCCGAACTTACCTGCATGTTCTGTCTGCTGCTGATTAAGGAACCCAAAGACCAAATCTAACAGCCTCAAGATGCCACCTGCTAAAGCAGAAAGACTCCTTGTTTTAAGAATTTCCATAATGGCCAGAGCATGTTTTTCTATAATCATTAAGAAGTCAAAATACCAGGATCCAGTGAAGGTGACCTAGGAGCTCAGGGTAGGACTAGACCAAATTCTTTGCAGGGCCTCTTCTATTCATCTTTAATTCAAGGTGTCATTTATTCATCTTCTTTCCTTTTTTCAAAGAGCTTGGGATCATGCCACCCACTTCAGTACATCCCATCTTCTGCTTGTTTCCGCTTCCATTTTCCCCTCAGCCCTAACCAGGTCTCCACAACAGTTCATCTGTGATGACATAAAATCCACAATTTTCTTTTCAATACTTTCACAACACTTCCACAAAAATCTTCTTCTCATGACGCATTTTATGCCAACTGTACAGTTCAGGGAAGGCAAAAAGGGACTGAGGATGGTACAAGTGAGATTAATTAATCATTAAAGGGATGGGATGAGTGGTCTGCCATACAAAGAAACATTTAAATATCTGGTAAGGGAATGCAGTTTGTATATAATCAAGGCATAATTCTTTAATCACTAAAACCGTAATCCATATGCAAGAAGAAGGTGAGTACGTGTAGAAGTTTCTTTTATCTCATTAATGAGGGAAATGCTAAATGGCAAAGGTAGTTCAATGAAGATATGAGAAATTAGGATTTATGTAGTCTGTGGGAAAAAAAGAATACTGAAATAAGATCACCAAATTAAACCAAAACTTGCAAATGTCCCATCTTTGTGGTCATCTTTTCTACCAGGCAGAAAAAAATGATACTTTATTAGTTTTATACAAGTTTCCAGTGTTGTAAAATATCTAGCTCCTAATCAATTATGAATATTAAGTCAAACAAAGTTATATTCCACAAAACAGTCAGATGACCCTTACGTGGGCTTTTTACAAAAGGCTCAAGTGTCATATTAAAAGGTTGCATAGTCATTTTTTTCCCTAATCCCACGTGTTGGCTAATATTCTGAATAGTATCTAAAGTTACATATACGACTGTGTGCTCTGAATAGGCAGACCAAAGTCTTGACCAAGTAAACCCTTTAAGTTTGTAAGAAATATATTTAAGGTGAATAAAACCAAAGACTAGTTTATATAACAGTTTGCTATTTCTGGAGGGGATGGAAAATAAAGCCATTCCACTAAATTATTTAATGATAAATATAACCTAGTCTTAGAGAATTAGAATACTGGGCCAGGGTGTAGGAAATTGCTGCCAATTCAGATTCAATTTATTTAAAATCAAACACATCACTCTATTTAGATTCAACCCCTGCAGGAGTAAATTTTTCTCTCAATTTTCCCATTTCTACTAATGGCAGCTCTATTTTCTCAGCCTCCCATTCTGAAACCCCTGACTGACCTTTTACTCCATACTTACATTATCATTGACAGTCACTTTCTACATCCTAAAAATTCTGCTTGCTCGATGTCTTACCTCTAATTTCTACCAACCCTTCTCATTAACACCACTGTGATTAAAGTTTTCCTGAAGTAATCTTCGTGACTTTAGTCCCTACCTAAATTGATCTTTCAAGACTATAGTTTTAAAAAAGCCACTGATAAGCACTCTCCAGTGGCTTTGCCTCATGTACAGTTTAAGCCTACTAACCTTTTCCTGACATTGACGGCCCTGGTTTTTCCACCTTTCACATTATACCTATTGTAGGGTCCTATGTTACCACTATTTTACTTGATTGGACCCCTGCCTTTTAGAATGTTGCCCATTCTAAATTGTTCTCTTATCAAATAATACCATTTCCCCAAATATTTTTCATATCTGTCCTAGAAGACTTTTCATATCTTCTCAAAGAATAAGATATTTCCTTCTTATGGGTCCTTCTAGTCCCTATATTTAATTTATTTTTTATTTCATTTTTTATTATGTTATGTTAATCACCATACATTACATCATTAGTGTTTGATGTAACACTAATCACAAACAATGATTCATTGTTTGCATATAACACCCAGTGCTCCATGCAGTACGTGCCCTCTTTAATACCCGTCACCAGGCTAACCCATCCCCCCTCCCCCTCCCCTCTAGAACCCTCAGTTTGTTTCTCAGAGTCCATATATTTTAAATAGTGTTTTATAGCATCTTATTGATTATAAATTCAATACAGAAGACTATTTATCCATCCTTGTGTACCATGCAGTGCCTAAGTGTTGTGCCTTGCATACAATAGTAGCTTGATAATTAATTTGAAAATTACTGCTCAGGTCCTCCCTTATCATGTTCTTTGGTGGTATTCCAAAGATGGAATTCAAGACAGGATCATAGCTTTAATACAGTATGCAATTCAGTATGTTCTTATGCCAGGAAATATTTATTCACTTTATTAGTTGTCATAAAGAGACATGAGCCAAGTATCGAGTATATGCATTGCTGTTATTGGTTTGGCATTTGCTCATGCTTCAGATAAAGGTTTGCTTTCAGATGGTTATTTGGTTATTTATTTATTCTGGAAAATGCATATTCCTAAATTTTTTGTGGGCTTGTTTATTGTGTTAGTGATTACCATGCCACTGAATATATGCCATGTAGGCCCTACGTACATGTGAGAAGGCCGAGCCATTTTTTTAAACCATTTTAACTACCTGTAACAGTCATGAATTATCTACCTTGTCCACATGCCCTAAACTATAGTCGACTGGCTTAACCAATTTATAGTTAAAATGATGTGGATTCAATCTTCCACTACATGATTTTAAAGGAGAATATTCATGGCTTAATTTTGAGAAATCATATGTATACTATATATTACGTGATATAATTATGTATGATGTGTTTGTATGCATTATGTAGAAGCATAGGTCAGCCCTGGCACAGGGCTGACTACTAGCTCATGAGAGCCACTTGTCTATATCTCTCCCAACTTTGAGTTTCCTGACCTTGTGTTAGTAGCTTGGAGTCCACCAGGCAGGATTTAAGATGTGGAAATCGGCTGACTTTACAAATCAGGGCAATTTTTTCTCCCTGGAAAGCCAGTTGTTGAATTTTTATGGGCATACCACTGTGTGTGTGTGCGTGTGTGCGTGTGCGTGTCTGTGCGTGTGTGTGCATGCGTGTGTGTGCACGTGTGTGCATGCATGTGATAGGTATATATGCAGTAGACTGTGCTGGAAAAAAAGCAATTACTAAGACAACTTGAAAAGTCAGCTTTTTGCATTCTCCATTGCATTCACCTTTTTTCATTACTGTTTGCATATCATATTTTATTTTATAAAGTGCTAGGATGAAGTAATATTACAACATAAACTCCCTTACTATTAAGTCATGGCAATGCTGGGAACCTGACAGCAAGAGAATAAGTTAATGCAGTTTCTTAGTGACAAAATTATTCTAATACCCAAACTCATGTTTTAGTGATACCTTTAAAATATAAATAGGAAGTTAAATGTGCATTTACAGAACAATATATAGGCTTGAAATTTATTGATGGAATTGTTTTATATCAATAAGAAATAAATCTAAACTTCAGATATGTTTCTAAATAAGTAATTGTACTCCCTTCTGCTATCTGATTTCACTTGCATAGTGATTTATTTTCAAGAATAGCATGGCTGCTTGCTTTC